TGCTGCTGCTGCTGCTGCTGCTGCTGCTGCAGGAGAAACCTCCCCTGAGCCTAGGCGGCAGTGCCCCCACTGCTCTGACTCCATCCCACTCGCATTAAAGGGCTGTAGCAAACCCTCGTACCCACAATGGGGGCCCCCAGGGCCCTCAAAGCCCACCGCACAGGGGCCCCCGGGGCCCCCCAGGGGGCCCCCCGGGGGCTCCAAGTGACTGGGGGCCCTCCGGGGGGCCCCCCGGGGGCACCCCTCGCCTCTAAAGTGCCCCAAGAATCGCCGGGGGGCCCCTGGCTGAGGGCACTCTGGGGCTTGCCCTGAGGGGGGCCCCTCTGCAGGGGCCCCCTCTGAGGGGTTCCCCAAGGGGCCCCCTGAGTGGGCCCCCGAGGGGCCCCCGGAGGGGCCCCCACAGGGCAGCGGACAGAAAGTTCCGCAGGGCCCCCCAGAGGGGCCCCCAGAGGGGCCCCCCGAGGGCAGCCAGCAGGGGCCCCCAGAGGGGCCCCCACAGGACACCCCAGGGGGGCCCCCACAGAAGCCCCCAGGGGGTCCCCCACAGAGGCCCCCAGGGGGGCCCCCACAGGGGCCCCCCTCCGCGTCAGGGGTTGCTTGGGTATAAAGTTCAACTCTATGAATGCCAAATATGCGCGTCAGCAAAGACAAGGGGGTACTGAGGATGTGGTCAATGTATGCGGGGAGGATTCTGCAGAAAAACAAGGGTTTAGGGTTTAGGGTTTAGGGTTTAGCGTTAGGGTTTAGGGTTAGGGGTCAGGGGCTGGATGCAGAAAGAGGTTTAGGGTTTTGGACGCCAGCAACTCCCCTACTGAGTCCTGGGGAGGACAATGCTGCGAGAGAGAAACCCACCATTCCATCGTTAGGGTTTAGGGTTTAGGGTTTAGGGTTTAGGGTTTACCGCAGTATTTGCTCCACTTCGGCCTTTGAAATTGTCTTTATAAGAAACTTGCCGTCGTGGGAAAAAAAGAAGAACTGCCCGCTTTTGCTGCAGCGCAAACCCCTCGCAAACCCTAAACCCT